TCACCTTCAGATTCCCCTGAGTCAAGTGGGAGCTGACTAGGTCCACTGAGACAGGTAAAACCCTCAAAGTTTCCAATTCCAGGATCACCAAGACCAAGCCTATCACCAGAACTGGCCTCCTCTACATCTTCCAAGACTGGCAATGGCAGTTCACCCAGTTGGTCAGCTAATGTTGGCATGTTGGAGGTGAAATGCACATCGAGCTGTTCGGCGCTGGCAGAGTGGCAGTGAACCATCTCCATCAGCAACTGGCAATGATTGGCTATGAGGGTCTTCCTGTGAATGCTTATGCTTTGGTTGTTTACGGGAGGTTTTCTGTAGCGTTGATGATGCAGTCGCAGAAGAGCCGGTGTCCCCGTCTGAATCAGACATAGACGAACTGCCCCCCTTACGCCGCTTTTGCCGACGCACCGGCATCGTTTAGATAAATAAGGAGCTTCTAGCCTCAAGCTTTTGCTCCACACACCTATCGATAATTACAATATCAAATATTCAACTATATTTATGTGATTTTCACAGTCGGGCACAGAGCACAGTAACTTACGTCCGTCTCGGGCTTCATCTAAATTGGTCCTGCTTGAACCTCAACTTTGCTGGAGCCTCCAGATGGTTGACGTAAACAAACCGTCTGACATCTCCCTCCGCAAATACATAAATCTGCAAGTATAAATATAGAAAAAAAAAACAAAAAAAGAAACCGATTGCTTGAAATGCATTTTAGACCGACATGATTGAAAATTTTAAACCTAAAAATTCCTATCGATTGACTGATTTTTTTATTTTATCGATTTTTTTCGGATTTCATGCTCGAACCAAAAGAAAAATCGTAAAAAAAATTCCAGGTTCAGAACTTCCTCATAAGCAGATAATGATGTAATATAAGTAGAATATCATAATTAGAAAACAGATAAACTCGATAACATTGTTGCTTTTCCCTGAGAAGCTACACTTTGCTTACAACTTATAAGTTCTTTGGAGAATACCCTTGTATTTATAAAGAGATATGCGCATCGAAACATTGGTAAACTGTTTATCTTAACTTAGTCAAAGCTTTAACAGCTGGGGCTTGAATAGCAAATTATTTATACCGAATCGACACTTCAGCGAATTCGCCGGCAAATTCGCTCTGCCAGCCATAAATAAACTCTGTCAGCCATAAATCCGTCAATACCGAACATATTTCATTCAAATTTTAAAAATACGTAGATATTATCAATAATTTGTGAACGGATTCATTTCAGATTTTTACATCAATTACTTTTTTATTAATACGAAAACCTAACTTCACGTTCACCTTGCAGGTTGGGTCCTAGTCAGGTCAAGTTTCAGTATTTTGTGGCATTTAAAAAAATTAATTGATGTAAAAATCTGAAATAAATCCGTCCACAAATTATTGATAATATCTACTTATTTTTAAAATTTGAATTAAATCCGTTCGGTATTGATGGATTTATGGCTGGCAGAGTTGAACGTCAAGTTAGGTTTTGCATTCGAGTGCGCAGGCCAGTTCGCAGGCGAATTCGCTGAAGTGTCGATTCGGTATTATTTATGAAGAAACTATGGTAAACATTCTTCAAAAATTAATTAGGGTTTTGGTAAAAATAATTTAACGCTGGTGCTATTTCTTGAACAAGTAATTAAATAATAATTACTAACAGAAAATATATTGGTCGAACGTTGGAACACAGTATAATAATTAACTAGCAATTGAAATTAGTATTTTATTAGTACCACAGCTAGAAATGAAAATTCGGTATTATGGATTATATCATATGTATGTATAATATGTATTTTGGCTGGTTTGATTGGGGACCAGAACATACTTTTTATTAATAATTTTCTTATTTCTTTCAATAAGCCGAACAAAATTTCTTGCTGGTGCTTCGAGATCAAAATATCTTGCTGGTGCTTTTTATCTGTTCATACTTCATCTCCAAATTTCATATTTAAGCTTTGCAATAACTCTTCACCTACTTGATGATAAATAATGAATATTCGAAACGTCGTACTCGAGTACGTAAAATGTCATTTGGTAACCTGCTTTTTGATCTCCAAGCACCAGCAAGAAATTTTGTTCGGCTTATTGAAAAAAAAAACTATAGGAAAATTGTTGACAAAAAGTACGCTCTGGTCTTCAATCAAACCTGCATAAATGAAGAAATTCTGCCTAACTATTGTACACTAATAATATGTATTCATCTATGTATCAATAATATTGATAAAAATATGGAATTTATCAATGCTCATTGAAGAGCATAATGTACTTCAATTTAAAGCACGATCGGTAACTCTGGCATGGGCTGAGATTTTTTCAACATCATCATTGTCATTCTTAAGATGATTAATGATGATTAATCAACGCAGAAATTTCGCTAGTCATTAATCTAATGATGACAGTTTCCGATCGATTGCTGGATTTAGTGTAGGACAAGATAAGGGGGTCTTAGTTATGTGCCTACTTCTCTGCTTCAAATGTGAGTGAAATCCCATTCCAGGTTAATTCTTGTCAATTCAGCAGCTGATTCTAATAGAACCTTTTCCAATGGCGGGAAAATATCTTTCTCGAACCAGAGTCGCTTGATGCCACCCAATGTTCTGGCATCTTGCAACAACTTCATGACTCCGCTGTCGGTCAGGCTGCAGGCAGGCAAGTAGATCTCCGTGTCGCTGCCGTGCAAAAAAGGGTAAGATTATTTAATGATTATCATCGGATAATAATAATTTCATTTATACTCTCGATGATCTACGAAATGCTTATCGTGATAATACACCAAACACCAGTAGCACCGTTATCCAAATGCAACAAACCAAAATGGTTGAGAATGGCCATTCGTGAATGGGATAGTGAATGGCCGAGAATAGATTTAGATCGTATATGGTTGATGAAAAACAAACCGTAATTGGTTGATAATACTTTAATAGACTTTGAGAGACGAGAAATTATAACTCCAATTCCCACCAATACGAGTGCCTGTCTGTGCAAATTAAATTATGAGAAGCAATGACAAAACTGAGTTAGTAAACGGAGGTAACAAAAAATGCTAAGAATTGTGATCAAGAAACTTTTCGTTTAACGCAACCCATAATAGAAAGGACTGCATTGTGAAAAAACGTGTTATGGCTGATGTATAAATGCATTTTTTGAACATTGCATGTCTTTCTCCAGAGGAGAACTTACCTCTTGTCGGGGATCAACTTCTCCAATACTTTTGTGAACCAACTCAAATCCTTGTCCTCCAGAGCCACCACATGGATGCACAAGAGTTTTCCTCTTCTGATCTTTGTTAAGAAGTCGTTCGCTGAAACCCTCTTCGAGATGCAAATGTCTGTGAGAAAAATGCTCGGTTCATTCTCTTAAGTATCATAGAATTGCGCGATAATTATTAAAACCTTGAATTCCTTGAACTAGAATCTAATTGACACTCCATAACTATTTTCCAGAAGTTGGGCCGGTGGCAACGGTAATTTCACCGGGCTTTCAAAATGAACCTAATTAGATATTATTTGAATGAGGCTTCTATTATTTTGCATGACAAGCGAAGGTATTCACTTTTTCCAAATTATGATGCACTTTTTCCAAATTATGATGCACTTTTTCCAAATTGTGACGCACTTTTGCTCACATATGTTGCTCATCTTGACCCATATTTGGCTCGGGAAATGGACATGTCCCGGGATATCAGCGCTAAACGGATCAGGTGTATCACGCTTTGGACAATATTACCCATCTTTTTTCCTGAGTACAGGTGCACGTGTAATATATTTTTTATTGAATAATTATATCTCACGTCTATAGCAATCAATTGCAGGGCTGGCGTTGAAGAGGTCCACGTCAGACGCCGTTTCAAGTCGAAGGCCAATTTTACGAAGGCGCTTGGCCCCCAAATTCTGCAGCGTGCTCTCCCTCAAGTGACCCATGAATGAGAGCACGGAAACCCTGCATAATTCATATAAGATATTCATCAAAATTTTTATGCAGGCATGAAGACTCACACGCATTGCCAAGCGCATAATTTTAAGCTCGGGCAAAACTTGTAATTTTATGACTTCTCCGTAGAGTTTCGACAAGTTCAATTGATATAGTACAGTAAAAAATTGATATAGTACAGTAGATTAGTGTGTTGTGTGTGTAATTGCCCATTCTGTTAGTGACAACTAGATACGGGAGAGGTGATAGGCCAGTTTTCCGGGCACATAATGCCACTGGTAGTTCTACGACCATCACTGGCGCGCTGACCCGCCAGAACCATTTGATTGCATTACACAACACCCTGGACAAGCCATGGGTACTCATTTATCAACCAGAGTTGGATGAATGGCTGAGTTGACCATGAGCTGAGCTTCCCGGTAGAACTTGTCCTCAGTGGGACTCGAACCCGGGCGCTGGGTGCGAGAGACTGAGTCTCTCACCACTGCACCACCACAGCTCCATATAGGGGCTTTCTCTATATTGAGAGGTTTCAGGAGAGTTGAATCACTTTGACAAAAGTTTGAATGATGGTAGAGAGCTGCAAAATTTACGTACATTCGAAGTTACGATTGTTAAGAACGATATTTATTACTTTTTTGAAACCGCGAACAAAAGGTTAAATGCAGCAAATGAAAAATTAGCGGCATTTGATATCGGCATCAAAGTTTACTTTCGTTTAAATGAGAGTCGTTAAATTTATTCCTCCAACGCACGTTACAAATTATCAAATGGGCCGTGAGGAAATACGCTTTTTCGTATAATACTGTCCGATCGCAAAATTAGGTAATTCGCTTACTACTTAAATGCTGGACATTAGCACGAGCAACGCTGAGCACCAGCAGGACCGATGCTGAGCACCAGCAGGACCGATGCTGAACACCAGCAGGACCGATGCTGAGCACCAGCAGGACCGATGCTGAACACCAGCAGGACCGATGCTGAGCACCAGCAGGACCGATGCTGAGCACCAGCAGGACCGATACTGAGCACCAGCAGGCCCGATGCTGAGTACCAGCAGGACCGATGCTAAGCACCAGCTGGCCCGATGCTATAGCACCAGCTGGCCCGATGCTATAGCACCAGCAGGCCCGATGCTTCACAAGAAATAGAAAATAATTGGAATAAAATAAATTAGCAGCTTCATCGTATTTCATGGTTACATCTTTTTTGCAAAAAATAGCTCAAAGCTGATAATGGTCTATTTTTACAGCAAATCGCAATACACTTTTGGTTACACATTTGCATACAGCTGAATTTGACTAGCACACATCAAGTCTTCAATTTAAAATGTACGAGAACTAATTTTGGTTACAAAATTCTTGCATTGCTCATCAAATTTTATGCACTGGCAATGCCTGCACTTTCACTCAAAGAGCTACAACATAGCAGTAGTAATTAAAGTCCATTAGTATGGATTTATATTGAATGAACAAGGGAAGTGATTTTGTTATTATAGATCATAAACAGAGTTGTACTACTGGAGCTTAACTTGATAAAAGAGCAGTATGGTATAATAATACTTGTTTCAGAATCTGAGAACCTAACATCAAGTTTTACCACAATCACAAGGACAAGCACAAGACAAAATTTGATATTGAAACTATATTAAAGTGTTGTGTACCAACCTTTTTTGAGAAATAATTACCTACTAAATTTACTGGAATGGTTAACAGATTGTTGGTTATATTTTCTACACAACTTAATGGCTACTATTTTCTTATTTACTAAATCATGATCAGAACATTATGTAATGTTCTGATCATGATTTAGTAAATAGTTAGTTTTAGTTAGTGTACACTAACCCGTACCGGTAACCTTCTTTGAGGAAAGGTTCCAGCTTCACACAGTCAGCAAGTGGCGTTTCTTTTGACCAGAAAGAATCCAATAGTTTGATTTTCACTTGATGTCCTCCTTTTCCCAGTCTCACAAGAAGCTCAGACAAACATTTTATTGGCTTTTCAGAAGTGGAGGTCACTACAATAGGTCCTGAAGGTTTGTGATCAGAAGTGTTGAGTGTAGCCAAGGCTTTGCAGGCTTCATACTCGCCAGTTATTGTCCAGCTTGCAGAATTCTTCATAAACTCTTCTGGTAAAATTGGTGTAGTGCATTCTTGAAGAACCTTGTAAGTTTCCTGGGAATGGGAAAACCTTTTATTTTGAAGAAAAATCAATACTTTCACTAGGAAATGGTGCCAGTACACATAAAAATTCAAGAAAAAATACAGTATACTGCAGCAACTGAACCAAATTAGCCATCCAGAAAGAAGTAACATATAAATGCAATATTTCAATTGGTTCCACATTTGTCATTTCATCATTTTTATATAGGTATCATTTTGTGCTGAGTTCCTGGCAACCTAAATGCTGTTTAATAACAAAAAGTTAACTTACATTCAATTTGGTCTCCAGCTTTGCCAGATCAAAACACATAGCTTGAATCTTGTTAGCTAAATTTTTGTACTCCTCATCTGCTCTGGAGATAACTTTGCACAACTGCTGCAGTGGTTTTCCTGTAGAGTTGCAGAATCTGGCTGTTCTTGGAGGGCTCTCGACAATTCACGGATATGGTAAAGCTGCTTAGTGAGATGCACAGTCATGCTTTCCTTGACTGATGTTACAAGCTTGACTCCTGACTCAATCCAAAAATTGCTGTTGACTAGTTTTTCAGCCATTTCCAGGTGGAACATTTCACTTGCCACAACAACTCCATGGGGGTAATGCTTGTCAGGGCAATTTTTACAAATTGCTACTTGACATTTGCAGCATCAATTTTCTAGTATATGTCCATGGGATGAACAGAAATCATACAAGAAAACATCATCAATTAGACTTTTATCACAATTCTGTGAGTTCTGATCTGGTTCACTCTCACCATCACTTACGCTGTCTGACTTGATATGATGAGGACTCATGTCTTGTTCAGAAGCAGGCAATGATTTTTGTGATTTTTGGCAAACCACACATGGATGGCCACAAGGCAAGGCTGTGACTTGTTCTTGTTGCTTAACAATAATTGATTTCACTTCATTTAGTAAGCTAGATATTTTTAGTATAGTAAGCTAGATGATGTTTCTAAATTTGATGACATCTTGCTTATTTATCAGCTCAATCTGTAGATCAAAACCTGAATTCAACTCACACTGAAGGAAAGAAAAATAACAAAGAATTGTTTCATGAAAATCTCATAGAAACAATCAACAAATAAAATTGATTTTTACAAGAGATTTTCACTGACATATACATTTACTATTTGAAAAGAGCCAAAGAGCGAGGCTAATTAGGATTGATTAGAATGAAGTTTCGTTAATTTCTTTTCTACTTTTCTTGAAAAGTCTCGATGTAGTGAATGCAACCGCAACTATGCTTCTATCGATGTCGGTGGTTGCGGCGGGAGCGCTGCCGTAGCCCAAAAATTTAACTCTTAAATCAGCCCAAGAGCCAATGCCAACCCTCTACATGCAATAGAAATAGCCAACAAGCTGATACTCCAACAGATTGGAGTATCAGCTAATCTCCAATCTCTCGTAATCTGTTTGGAATATCAGCCAACAAGCTGATACTCCAAACAGATTACGCCCAATAGCTCCTATACCAAGGATTTAAGCCCATACCATCACTTCTTACAAATGCCGTAAGCCACAGGGTCCGCAGACCTATGCTGGTATTGGGCAATGCTGGGCTACTTCAGTCGTCCCGTTGCGGCGATAAGTATTTATATTTATTTCAATACAACCGGTTATTTCGACACCTATTTTAATCTCATCAATCGCGTGAATGAACTTTTCTCTCGATAGAGTTGGTAGTACGCTATTTACTGTCAGGTTGGTATTTTTCTGTACATTGTCCGAGTGGTCAATAGATCGCGATGGAAGGTTCTCTATACTGGCAGCTACGACTTGACAAGGAGAATGACACACACATTTATCTCCGATCTCATATACTAAAAAAATACCCTACGCCTAGTTACAGAGCCAGGACTGATGACAATAACGAGAGCACAGGCTTACTTGCAGAAGAAAAATCCCATCCTACACCGATCTGGGCCGGGGACAACAGAGTTAGACAACTACTGGCTCCGAATAACTAATTGAGACTAATTCAGCGAGGCTAAATTAAAGTGGCTACAATGCACGCTAGTAATTTAATCTACGCAGTGGTACATCACCGGGCTTGTTTGAGACGATCTAGTCCAAGGCGAAGATGCGTCGTCTGGCTGTTGTCGTGGATTGCAGTAACGTTCCCGGAGTCGGGGATGCTCTGTGAAGCCTCCTTCGCGATCGTGACTTCGGCAGTCGTCGAAAATTCGAGGATGAAATCAGTTGCCCGGTGCAGGACTAGGACATGAGTATCCTCGCGGTCGGTTAGTTCTTCTCTCAGGTTCTCTGTAGTTCTTCGATATCGGCTTCAGATAATTAGCTCAGCAGCAGTCTGTCGTGGTTCCTGTGCTCGGTGGTGTCGAATCCGTTCTTCAGTTTCTCTCTCACGGCAGTACGAACGTGAAACAGTGGCAATTCGTCGTGATGAACTCGATGCCGGATTAATCTTCCTTGTGAAGGTTGACCTCGGTGACAATTAATGGCAATACTATACACGGCTCACGGTGTTCGTCTCGGTTTTCACAGTTATCTCCTTCGTCGGTTTCTTGCAACCACTTTAGATCTCACTCTCGCGAAAGTCTTTCCACGATTACGTCGGCTAAGTCAGAAAAACACCGGCACCGTCCACGACCTTCAGTCTTGGTCGCGCTACAACGACATGCGGAATACAAGGGCCTCCGCGCTCAACTGAGCTCCGCACAAGCCGTGATTGCCTTATATAGCCCCGATCACGCGTCGACCCGCACTGGCTTGAGGCGTCGCTTGAATTTCCCTGACGACAAGTGTTTTCCCCTAAGTCTAAGTTTCCTTTTCTTGTGTACAATCCCTATTTATTCCTATTCCTAATCATCGTCGGTTTTAATAAATCTTT